AAAACTATCGGATTTTATGCAAGAATAATTTTACAAAACTTTACAATTTACCATTACGATGAAATAAATATGTGCATGGTAAATCTTTATACAGTATAGCAATAGGGTAATTTTTTAAAGGTTCTTTGTAGTATAGGTTTTAGACGGACGAACGAAACGAATTTTTAAATCTTTTTAGTTAGGTAAAAAAAACTATCGGATTTTATGCAAGAATAATTTTACAAAACTTTACAATTTACCATTACGATGAAATAAATATGTGCATTGTAAATCTTTATACAGTATAGGGTAATTTTATAAAGGTTCTTTGTAGTATAGGTTTTAGGCGAAACGAATTGGTTGTACTAGTGTACGAAATTTAATGTTCTCCGCGTATTATCTGAGAACACTAACTTGTACGTACGAACATACTACGTAGTATGTAGATTAATTAAAATATCGATATGCTTATTTGAGAATGTTGAATAAATTATTTCTTATTATTATTATGATGCGTATTAATGTTAAACAAATTTTAACTTTAAAAAAAAAAAAAAAATTCGGGAACATAAATTTGTAATCTTTTTATCACGTTTCTTGTCAAGTATTATTTTATGTTACATACATACATACACGTACTGTATGTACGTACGTACAAAAACTTTATTATTTTCGTTATTACAAGTTCTATGTTAATAACTTGTAAAAAAATTTATTCATTAAAAAAAATCCGGTGACTTTTATCGAGAAAGTATAGTAATTTGGCTACAATCATACGATATTTTTTTAGAACTTAGAACGCACTATATCACAACACATAAACACATAATTTTAGATTGTTTGTAACACTTTCACTGAACAAAAAAAAAACTTGAATTTCTCTGGCAAAATCTGAATTTCGAACTTTATTCATCAAGATAAGAAATAAATATACATTGATAAAAAAAAAAAGATAAGAACAAGATAGATAATAGATAAAAAAAAAAAAGTAAAAATAAAAAAAATAAAGTGGCAAATTGGCAAACGATACGAACTTTAAAAAAAAATTTTAGGCAAAATCTGAATTTTTAACGGAACAAAAAAAAATCTGGCAAAATCTGAAAATGTAACGGTAACAAAAGTAAATTTGGCAAAATCTGAATTCGTAACAAAAAAAAATTTGGCAAAATCTGAAAGATTCGAAAGTAAAATTTGGCAAAATCTAAACATAATGAACAATAATGAACAAAAAAATTTGGCAAAAAATATCTGGCAAAATCTGAAAAGTGGCAAAATCTGAATTACTAATTCGTGAACAGTTAATCGCAAGGATTATCGTGAAATCATTAAAAAAAATGTCGTGTTAAACACGACCCATAAAGGTTGTTGAAAAATTGTACTAGTAGAGTCTTAAAAAAACTTACAAATGATGATGGATGAATTGAAATTATTTTTGAATTTTGAAATTGGGTAATTAATCACAAACACAAACAAAAAATTTTCGAAAATTGAATATAAAATTGAGGAAATCACAAACACAAACAAAAAAAATTTCGAAGTTTGGTAACATGAAAATATGTCGGTAAAGGATAATGAAAAATAAAGAATCTTATGATGTTTGATAATGATGTTAAAGTTTTTTTGGTATATATAGAAGATTTAAATTAATCAATAATTTAAATCATTTGCAATCATTTGCATTCATCTTATATTATATTATAATTATAATTGTTATATATCGGAAAGATCTTAATAATAAATTTGAGGTTGGTGTTTTCACTTATAGTTAGGCGGTAAAAACTTGTTCTCCTTCATTTTGCTCGAAACATAATATTGAAAAAATGAATAAAGGAAAAGTGTCTTCTACCAATAGAACCGCACAAACATAAAAAAGTTACTTCACCCACCCACAGATACATCAAACCATGTTAACCGTTGAAAATAAAATTGCCATCCAAGAAAAAAATAGAAAAACTACATCTGCAAATCGTCAAGAAACCTAGCTCCGTGTGCCGTGATACGTTTCTTCCTCAGAGAAACATGTTTGCACCGTATGCGAGGCTTCATAACTTCATCATACCAACCAGAAAATAATAGTGGATAAATATATATATAATAATAGTCTATAGATATATATGATAATATATGATAATAATATATGATAATAATGATCAATTATTTCCGGTAGAGTATTTGGGTGTAGGCCGATTGCAGTGACCCGCAAAGAATCATCCTTAGGAAACGCCAAACGACAGTGACCAGCTTCAATAATTTCAAGACTTTTTGGAGTGTATCTTTCTACTTGTTTGATGAATGGAGATAATGGTTCCAAAGCGATAACACAATAAGATATACACGTGCGTGAGCGTGTGTGTAAAGCTCTTTTGATAGATTCTTCCTTTCTCTTCATTCAAATCTTCAAAGTTACGTCGGCAATACGAGGAGTAGATGTGATTCATACTGACAAAGTAAACTTTTCGTTCCTTTTACTTTGTCGAAAAGTAGGAGAGTTTGTGGCCATAAAGCGAACTTTTCGATTTATCATCGAAAAGTAGGATTATATTGCAATATTAAAATAAATTTTAAATATAATTATTTGTAATTATTGCAATTATGCGATGGTTACTAAAAACGGTAAAGTATTTTGCAAAAGAGAAATTATCGTAAAAAAAATATCGATGTATGTAGTAAATTGAAATTGTCGATTTTTGAAAATTAATGATTTTTTTTAAGGATTTTCTCACGCAAGCGGTTTGCGTGGGGTTTTAAAGTGGATCGAATATAGGCTTTCGAAGGTAATAGCACAAACACAAACATTTTAAGAGAAATTGAACACAAATTTTTTGAGATCGTTGAGATCGTTTTGGTATCATAAAATATCATTTAAAAATTTTAAAAATTTTAAAAATTTTAAAAAAATGATATATACTAATATAAAGAATATAAAAGGGTAAGAGTTAGCACAAAACTACAAAAAATCGAAGGAACTGTAATCCCGAATTGATTGATGAAAATTGTCCATTACAACTGTACCCATAAAAGTATAATGGAATAATATAATGAGATCCAAATAATAATAATGAAGATAAGAAATGTTCAAGGGTATTGTGGAAAGGTCGCTAAACCTTCCCGAAGAAGAAAAGAAAAAGAGCCCTTGTTATTTTCCTTTCCTTCGCTTCATGTGGGTGAAAAAATTTAGAACACAGCAGTGTTCCACAACATTGAACCGCACCAACTCACAACATCTTTAACATTAGAAGCAATGTTGACACATCGCTCCACAACACCGGACTCATTCATTTCAGGAACCCTCATTTGTTGATTATTAATACGTTTAACTTCAATAGCACTACGTGGCACCATCATACGAGGATTATTAACATGATGATGAGGAGGAGGGACCATCATCCTTCTCGGAGGGGAAGGACGTGGAATGCCACGTGGGGTTGGTTTGATCATTGGTGGAGGTAAAGCGAAATCATCAACATTTTGAATGGGACCACCAATAAAGGAACCATCTTTAGCAAATGGTAAATTAACTTTTCCAGTATTTTTAACTTGTTCTTTAGCCCAAGCAAACATTTGATCATAATTTCCAGGATGCTTTTGATCTAAAGAGAAAGGATTACTAGTCCTACGCCGCATAGGCCGCATTGGAGGAGAAGGAGGACGAACAGTAGTATAATGCGTAGGAGTATAATGAACTTGCTCCAAATTACGACTAAACCTAATAGATTTCTTTTGTTTAGGTTCAATCGGTTGTGGAATTGGATAACGATAATTAGCAAAAGACTTTGAATCGATATCAGGATTTTTAGCATTAATCCACATCATTTCATAAGCGTAAGAAATGAGATCTTTTAATGGATCATGTTCCACGGGTTTCTTTAGAGCCGGTTTAATGTAAATGGACGGAGAGTGAGATGGAGAAGAAGGAGGAGTAGGAAGATCAAAAGGTAATGGAGGAGATGCGGTGGCACCAAAAACGGGAGATGATGGGCAACAAGTACCTGGAGGACTTCCGACTAAAGTTTCGTCATCATCATCCTCCATGAATGGATCATTATCAGGTTGGTAAAGGGGTCCAAACAACCAAAGGATATCGCATTCCTTTTGCCTATATATAATAAAATAGATAAAAATAGATGATTGGTTAGAGATTGTGAATGATCTTTTGTTTGTTGGACAAAGGAACAAAATATAATTGTGAATGCCTTGTTTCACCGCATGTTTACGTAAAAAAGGAAAGGTAATAATAATATAATCTATAATATATAATAATATATATATGTAATGTGTATATATATATATCATATATATATATCATCATATCATATATATATTTTATATATCAAAGAATATATCAAAGAAATTTTAAAAGATATTCATCGAATAAGCCCGCCAAAAAAAAAGAATAGAGAGAAAAAAAAAAAAAAAAAAAAAAAGAAATAATTGAGATAATTCGGGTAATTATAAATCTTTTCATCAAAATGTCCGTGTGATCAACGATGGGATAAATTCGGTAGGAGGATGTTACACGGATCCAAGTTTAAGATGCCAAAAATAGGATACAATAACAAAATTGACAGGTTTTATGGAAATCATATCATTTGCGCGCCATCCCCAAATTTTTTTTTCAGCCCAAGTTACAAAGTTTGTGAAACGGAATACAATTGTGCCTCCCCCCAAAAATACCATACCATACCATACCAACCAAAGAAATAAAGAAGTAATAAGGAATCGAAATCAAGTAAATATATTCTTACCATTTCAAAGTTTTTGGAGAAACTAGTTTGTTGCCTTTTCCTACACAACCGACACTTTGACCCATACGTCTCCAAAGAGCATTCTTCATACGAATCAAACGTTTTTCTTCAGCACGAAGGGCAGACTCATGTTTTTGTTGTTGAAGTTGTTTGCTAATGTTACCGATAGGTTTACCTGAAGAGCGTTGTTGAAGACCAACAGAAGGACGAGAACTCTTTGGTTGTTGTGGTTTTTCTTGACGAATTTTTTCACGACAGGTATCGAGTTGTCGACAAATTTCTTTGTATGAGGTAATAATATCAGTGTCAGACCAGTCATGAGTGTGTCCAAGATAGTCAACGGATTGAGAAGCAGTAGCAGTGATTGATGGTTGTTCCATTTTTGAAATATGTTTTTGTTTTTTTGTTTGAAAATTGAAAGACAGAAAGTTTTTTTTTTTGATCGTTAAATAAAAGTTTTTTTTTTAAAAAAAAAAAATATATATACAAAATAAATTTTTTAAATGAGGTTGTGTATTATAATACAGCTCGTTAAATGGTGGATATAAATGTATATTATCGAGTAATAAACACTTGAATATAGACAAAAAAGTCTCGTTTTTGTTGTTTGTTGTTCTCTCAGTTGTTATGATAGAACTTCATTAAACGAAACGTAAAAATTTAAAGAAGTTGTTTTTTCTTCAATGAAAACTAAATCGCGGTTTTGAATCGAAGAGATATAAGCCTGATATATATCTTCTAAGATAACGTAAGCATGGAATATGAGGTGACAATTTTATTATTGAGAAATTGAGAAGAGTATATTATTCTCAACTTTCAAGGAAAAAAAAAATTTCGCAAATAAATTAAACGTCAAGCAAGAAAAAAAAGAAAGGTGTTTTTTTTCCGATTATTGGAATTGGGGGAAAACGATGATGGCTCAACCAGGGATTCTTAAATAATTTTTAGATACACAAAATGATAATTATTTATATTACAAAATAAACTTCATTTTACAAAAAAAAAAATCTAATCTATAGCATATATGCTTGTAATTTATCATACAGTTATACAGTACGATATATATTAAGTAATATAAAAAAAAAAAATCAGTAATACGCTATATATAGTCTAAATAAAATAAATAATAATAATAATAATAGTAAATAAAATAAATAATAGTTAGTTGTATAAAAAAAAAAAAAAATTAAAATAAATAGTAGTTGTATAATAATAATAATAGTAGTTGTATAAAAAAAAAAAAATTGAATTGCCGGCATAAATAAAAACAGGTTTATATATATGTACAACAACGGTTAAAATAATTACAACGTACATATCATTCGGAATATATATCCAATATATAAATCAATTTTAAGTGTTTTTTTGAGAGTAAAGTTAGTGCAAAGTTGTTAAAGTTTTTTTTTTTTTTTATAGGTTAATTTAGAACCCATTATGACAATCCAAGCATCATACAACATATATTAGTCAAAATCGGAAGGTGCCGCCGATAGTTGGTGGTTGGTCGAAGCACAAGTCATCAACTACCCAATATGTACAAGTCACTAGATGACTACCGCAATCTACCGTTAGCTACTTCAATGTCTCAACTACACATAACTACACATAACTACACATAACTACACATAACTACACATAACTACACATAACTACACATAACTACACATTACTACACATTACTACACATTACTACACATAACTACACATTATTACACATTACTACACAATCTTTATTCAAACCGTAATACGAAGTGATCGGTTTGAGAAATGACGGGTAACATTGGAAAAAAGGTAAGGTGATGCGAACTAAATAAATGGTATTGTGGTCGGTAATGCCAATCAAAGAAGCTCATCAAACGTAATGATACACAATAAAAAGAGAAATTAACAGGTTAATTATCAGATTAAAATTTAGTGTTACGATGAGTTTCTTTAGAAAATTGATTGATTAGCCTTCAACGAGATGCATAACGATTAGAAATGGAGTATCAATAAACCTAAAAATCGACAATAAATACAATAAATACAATAAGTCAAGAAAATGTTCAATATGTCCTTTCGTGGGAAGTGTAAACGAATCGCACATTTCGCCAATCAACATAGTCGCCAATCGACTTTGAGAATCAGCCCAGCCTAGACTCTTTATTCGTTCATATCATTCGAAATAATTTATTAGAAATAAATTGAATTATATTTATTAGAATATTTATTAGAATATTTATTAGGATATTTATTAGAATATTTATTAGAATTACATTAAAACTTTTTATTAAGATTTGACGCGCAATATAAAACAATAATCTTTTAAAGATCATCAATTTTTTTTTGGCGAAGAAGTAAACATTTCGGACCAAAATAAGATAAGGACTGACAAAAACAAAAAAGGTCAGTGTCGTAATCTACATTTACCTTATTTGTGGTTAGACGCGATTATTTATTATTATTTATTTAAAGTTATTAATATAATAATAGATATCGTGACCTAAAGAGAAAAAAAAAATTTTTTATTTTATTTTATTTTATTTTATTTTTTTATTTATATTATTACAAGTTCATTTTATTCGAATTATAATCGAATTATAATTTCGAATTATAATTTCGAATTATAATTTACAATTACAATGGATTATAATGAATTATAATGAATTATAATAAAAATTATTTATTTGAAAAAAAAACCCGACATCCGGCCAATAGCCGGTCAACAACCAGCAAATAGCTGACCAATAGTTGGCCAATAGCTGACTAATAGCTGGGCAATAGCTGGCCAATAGCAGGTTAGAGACTTATTTAATACGCAATCTTATTTATTAACGCCAAAAAAATTAATATGCATGTAAAAAAAAGAGTTTGTGTGGCAGTTGGTCACTGGATCAAATGTGCCATACGTGTGTAAATGTGTAATCTATATCTTATCATTCATTCATATTCATTGTATATATATCGTTATATATATATATATCTCTCTATACATACCTTATTCGTACATATACAGTATATATCTTTATACAGTATAGATCTTGTTATACGTAATAAATATATATATATACCTTCATTACAGATTTACATATATTACGTATATTACGTATATTACGTATATTACGTATATTACGTATATATCTTTATTCGAAATCTTAAAACCAAGTCTAAATTTGATTTTAATCAGGTTTGTAAGATTCAGAAAATAAGTAAGAAAAATAGAAAATAGAAACAAAAGGTCATCAATTATAAGAATAAGAAAAGTCTAGTTCCATGGTTATCTATTAATGGAACTATAAAATATGGTAGTTTTAAGTACGTACGTAAGTACTTGACGGTGAGAAGGAAAGATTGTGTAATAAACATATTACAATATGCCTCTAATGTTTATAAGATATGCAAGGGACAGGATAAATAATTACACAGATTTTTTTTTTTTTTGACCTGAATAACGATTTTGGGCTTATACAAACTTTCGCGAAGTTTCCCTCTCGGTAACACCTCGTTTCGAAAGAATCTCTGCAATAAAGATAACTCATTCCGTTCTTTACGTATTACAGGCATTCAGCGCATCATCGTCCGCATCTTTGTTTTGATGTTTTTATATTCTTAAGCCACATAACAGAGTAATTCATTAACGTTAGAGTAATTAAATTATTATAACTTATAATTAAATTATTAGAAATTCATTAGTGTAATTACAATAAATAATTACTGTAGAGTCTGTAGAGTAATCAATTAAAATAATTAGAAATTATTTAGTAATTATTTAGTAATCATTTAGTAATCATTAAAATGATTAACTCTATAACTGCAGAACTGTATAATAATTCATATAAATTCATTAGCGTTACGTAGAATTATAATTTTTAAAAGTGATAACGATAATAAGACTAAATTTTATTAAAAAAAAAAGTTAACTACGTATGTATACGTACGTACAGTGTAATGTGTAATGTGTAATTAATAGTATAATTACTACTAATTATTAATTACTATATAGCGATTATGAAACGTTAAAAATTAGTTCGTACGTACGTACGTAGGTAGTTAAAGGAGAATATTTGTCAAGAAACTTTTTTTTTTTTTTTGATAACCCAAACCTTATTAATAATAACATTAATAATAACGAACATCTATTTTGAACAATTATTTTCTTTGTGGAGACAAAAAGAGTAAAGAATGTCATTTATTTGCCCCAACCAAAAGAAACTTTAATAAACAAAAAATTCATACAAAAATGGGAATCAATGCTTACTAAACTTGAAAAGCGTAACAATATACGTAAAGTCTGTATACGTATCTGTAAGGTCTGTATACGTATCTGTAAAGTCTATAAAGTAAACCATGTATAACAAACCGTGTATAACGATAAAGTTATAACTATTATAACTATAATTTCACTTACCATATAATTATTTACATATAATTATTTATTTCACTTACCATATAATTCTTTATTTTATGGCTTGGCTCTACATACAGAGATAATACAAAGAAGGGTTTTGTTAAAACGAGATAATATTTTGTAAACAAAATGTCAACAAATGCTCACAAATTGCACAGCACCAATCATTTATGGAATTGACCGAATAATATAAAGTAGATGGATATTGTGGTTAAAAACACGGACGTTCGGAGAATATATTTGGAATAAAGTACATTGCAAAAAAAAGTAAAAAAACGTCATTCTATATTTTTTACTTATTTTTTTTATATATTTTTATATACTTTTTATACCAGTTTTTTTTTTTTTTTTTTTTTTGTACTCCTAATAGTTACTCAATTTTACTCAATTCTGATTCAATGTCATTGTTCGAAAAATGTGGTGGTTGGTCATTCAACTTTCTTTTTAACAAACAGAAGCACCAATAAATATTATATTATATATTTAGCCTGGGAAAATTTTACTGTACATATCTTATCAACATCATCTATCTGATATATGAATTACAGGGGTGCACGTTAGTAATCATTTATTATCATCAATTATTATTATTATTATCGTTAATTATCGTTAATTATTATTATTATCTTATTAATTATCACTTATTAGAATTAAAAATGTACTTGATAGATGCAGGGACTATAAGAATATAAGAATATAAGAATGTAAAAATGTAAGAATATAAGAATATAAGAATGTAAAAGTTAAATACCCACGTTACCCACGTGATGTTCTTAAAAGTCACTTAAAAATCACAATCATCCGCAATAGTTTGTAAGTAAAAGGTTAGAACAAAGGTTGAAACAAGTTGCGAAAGGACATAACGACATCAATCTTGGGAATCATCTTGGGAATCATCTTGGGAATCATCTTGGGAATCATCTTGGGAATCATCTTGGGAATCATCTT